TTTCGGTCTAGTCAACTCAGAATAGGATTGTATGGGGGTGAGGGCGAATGAGGGGTAGAACGACCTTGGACGGACTGGTGGAAAGAGGTGACTATGGCTGGTCGTGGTGGTCGGCGGAGCCGGGTTGTGGTTTACTATAATTTACGTTAATATTTGTAAGTTAACTTTATTTGACACCCTGTATTATGTTATGTTTATTTCTATATGAATATTATTTTTGTGTGTGTTGAAGTGAATATATGTTTTGGATGAAGTGATTTTCTATTTTGTTATCCGGTGATTGGTGAAAATATAAGTGAATCATAAAGTGGCTTTATACTCCCTACCTTGCATACTTACTTTATATTACTAAAAATCTACAATACTTTAAAAAGGGAATCTAAAAGGAAATGATAAATGATAGAAAGTTGTGTACAATAAGATTAATATAAATAGTAAATAAACACGTGGAACATAATAAGTGATGATTAATTAGTAATTATAACAAGGCTTGAAAAGAAGAACTAGTATATAAATATCTAATTACTAGTATATAAATTACTAATGATTGATAAATCATTGTTAATATTACCGTTAAGATAAACAAGCAGGAGATATTACAGCAGCATATAAGAACATACGTACTTCTGAGTGGACTATGAGCTTGGAATTAAGAGAAACAAAAGTATATTTATATTGTATTACGCTTGACACCAAATCATATCAACCTAGATTGGGTTCTGTTATGCGCCCTGTTCTGCAACAACCGGTGTCATTGTTAAAGAACGAAAGCTACGTAACAAAATTGGGGGCCTGACCGGGATACTTTTGTTTCATTAAGTATAATAATAAAGATGCTATATCATGTAAATGATTGCTGAAATACATTTATTATAACTTTGTAAAGGTGGGAGTAATATTTTCAAGATGCCTTTTGACATGGAACAATTCTTCGAGTCTCCTACAGTGGAGGCTCTGATGGATTTGAGAAAGACTGATTTGATAAAAGTTGCTGAAAAGATTGAATTTAGTGTAAGGAGAGGTTCATTTAAATTTCAGATTAGGAATGAGTTGATTAAGTATATGGTAGATGATGGGTTATTAGATGACAGCGCACTTGAATACGTAGAAAATGACAGCGATATGGTTAGGATAAAAGAGCTTGAGCTACAGAACGAATACCGAATGCGTGAGTTAGAAGTGCGTCAGAGAGAGAACGAGTGTCGTATGCGTGAACTAGACATAGAGAGAGAAATCAAATTAAAGGAGTTAGAGCTCAGAGGGCCTCACCCGCTGCTGTGCCGTTTAACATAACTGCTAACGCAAAATTGGTTCCCCCATTTCAAGAGAATGCTGTTGACAATTACTTTCGATATTTTGAGAAAATAGCAATTAGTTCTGATTGGCCAAAAGAACAATGGACGGTACTGCTTCAATCTGTCCTCACTGGTAAAGCTCAAGAAATTTACATGTCAATGTCCGTGACGGATTCTCGTGACTATGATAAAGTAAAGACGGCTGTGTTAAAGGGATACGAGTTGGTGCCGGAGGCCTACCGCTTAAAGTTCCGTAATCTGCGGAAAAGGGACAATCAGAGCTTTTTAGATTTTGCCAGAGAGAAAGATGGCTTGCTTGCTCGTTGGTGTGAGAGTGAGAAAGTAGATAATGATTGTGATAAACTATATCAACTGATTCTTGTAGAAGAATTTAAGAAATGTCTACCTGACCGCATTAAGATGTATTTAAATGAAAACAGGGTAAAGGTGTTAGATGAAGCTGCCAGAATGGCAGAGGATTATGCTTTGATCCACAGAAATGTTGAGGGTCCAAAGAGTACTGTAAAACCACAACCCACTCCCCTGACAGGTAAGAATGAATTTAAAGGTGATAAGAGAGAGACCGCCAGTCCTGGTCATAACTCCAGTTATGATAAAAAGAAATCAGTTAGATGCTTTAATTGCAAGTTGTTGGGTCATACTATCAGCAATTGCTGGTTCTTAAAAGAGAAGTCCAAGGACGTTCCCGTAGCTCTTGCCAGTACTAGATTTAAGGATGTAAAAAGTCCAGTAGAAGTCAATTTGCTTTCTGATACAGATAGATTTAGAAATGTAAGTGATGAATTCAAGCCGTTTTGCTCAGAAGGAAGTGTATCCCTGGTTGGTGATGAAAGTGGTGAAAAGCCTATCGTAATATTAAGAGATACAGCGGCGTTACAGTCACTGCTCTTGGAAGGTGTATTGCCACTAGCGGGGAAGACTTCGGACGCGAGTGTCGTCATAGCCGGTATTGAGTGTGGGCATCTGATTGCCCCGTTACATAAGGTTCATCTCAAATCTCATTTCTGTGATAAGAAGTAACTGTGGGAGTGGTACCTAAATTACCCATAGAAGGTGTATCATTTATATTGGCAAATGACTTGGCAGGAGAGAAGGTATTTGCTAAACCCCAAATTAATGTAGCAATTCTAAGTACTCCAGACATAAACGACGGTGAACAGCTTGCAGAAGAAGACGTGGGCATGTTCCCTGCCTGCGCGGTCACGAGGAGCATGCGGGAGGCAAGGCGTGTCGGGCACGACCCTCCCACGGTAGCTCGTGCGAGTCAGTGCGTACGTAATAAGGACAAGGTATGTGGTAATGGAAATGACGTGAGAGGTGACGAAAGAACTTCATTGCTATGCCACGAGACTGATGCTGGTGACGACAAGCTAAGTGTCTTCCCCGTTGATAAAGGGAAGCTTATAGATCAGCAAAAATGTGACGCAGAATTGTGTAAGATTGCTGAATTAGCTGGGTCAGAAACTGATGCGTCAGATATACCTGCAGCTTATTATAAAAAAGGTGGCGTCTTGATGAGAAAATGGAGGCCTCGTCACGTGGGTGCGGGAGACGAGTGGCACGTGGTACACCAGGTCGTTGTCCCAGCACCTTACAGGTCACAGATCCTGAGTCTTGCTCACGATTCACCATTGTCGGGTCATATGGGTATTAACAAAACATGCAGAAAAATAATGAACCATTTCTATTGGCCGGGGTTACGTAGAGATGTTGTGAATTATTGTAAATCGTGTCATCAGTGCCAGGTCGTGGGAAAGCCTAACCAGAAGATCCCTGTAGCGCCTTTATATCCGATTCCTGTGATCTCTGAGCCTTTTAGTCACGTAATTATAGACTGTGTTGGCCCGCTTCCCAAGACAAAATCCGGTAATAATTACCTCCTCACCATCATGTGTTCTTCCACTCGATATCCTGAGGCGATCCCGTTGCGTAAGATCAGTAGCAAGGCAATAATCAAAGAACTCACGAAATTTGTACCCGAGGGTGATCCAGTCCGACCAAGGCAGTAACTTCCTCTCTAAGGCGTTCCAGGCAGCCATGCGACGGATGGGCGTACGACATCAAGTGTCAAGCGCCTACCACCCAGAGTCGCAGGGCGCGCTGGAGAGATTCCACCAGACGTTGAAAAACATGGTCCGCATTTACTGTCATGAGACGGATGACCAGTGGGATGAAATGGTTCCGCTGTTGTTGTTTGCTGCTAGAGAGTGTGTGCAGGATACTCTGGGGTTTAGCCCATTTGAGCTTGTGTTCGGCCATGAGGTAAGAGGTCCACTAAAGATGTTGAAAGAAAGATGGTTAGATGATAATAGGTCAGATATATTGAACCATGTAATGGACTTTAGATTAAAACTCCACAGAGTATGTGAACTGGCAAGAGCGAACCTCGGTGAGGCCCAGAGACGGATGAAGACGCGGTACGACAGAGATGCTCAGTCACGATCCTTTTCACCTGGAGAAAGAGTACTGGTCTTCCTTCCCGTCCCTGGGCAGTCACTGAAGGCGCGTTATTTTGGACCATGTACCGTGGAGAAAAAGCTAAGTGACCTGAATTATGTAATTCAGACTCCCGGTAAGCGTAAACAGTCACGACTTTGCCATATTAATCAGATTAAGAAATATGTAGAACGCAATAAAACGGCCTATAGAAGAATGTAAGGATGGCAATGCAGTCATGGTGAATGATGTGATGAATGTTATTAATGATGGCGAGAAAGATGAAGATCCCCTTGTTGATGTGCCTCACTCTAAATTAATGAATTCAGATATTCTTAATAATCTAAAAAATAAGTTTTCTCATCTAGATTCTTCGAAACAGCAACAGCTGAATAACTTGCTTTTGGATTTTTCTTGTCTGTTTTCTGATGTTCCGGGTCGGACGAATTTAATGCATCATGATATTGATATTGGTGATAATGGCCCAGTGAAGCAACATCCTTACAGAGTAAATCCAACAAAAGGTAAGCAGATGAGAGATGAGGTCCGGTATATGTTGGAAAAAAAATCATTGAGCCCAGTGTTAGTGCTTGGAGTTCCCCATGCATACTAGTGCCCAAGGCTGATGGTGGAATTCGCTTCTGCACGGATTTTCGGAAGGTAAATACGCTGACGAGGGATGATTCTTATCCTATACCTCGTATTGATGACTGCATTGACCAGGTGGGTAAGGCCAAATATGTAACAAAGATAGACATGTTAAAGGGTACTGGCAAATCCCCATGACAGAGAGGGCAAAAGAAATCTCTGCATTTGTAACGCCAGATGGACTCTTTCAATACTGTGTAATGCCGTTTGGTTTAAAAACAGCTCCCGCAACCTTCCAGCGTTTAATCAATGGTCTAATTTCAGGATTAGATGGATGTAAAGCTTATCTGGATGACATAATAATTTACAGTGACAACTGGGTGGAACATCTGGAGAGGCTGCAGGCACTGTTTGAGAGGCTCTCGGCAGCTAACCTAACGGTAAACCTTGCCAAGAGTGACTTTTGCGCATGTAACTTACCTGGGGATATGAAGTTGGTCAAGGACAGGTCAAGCCTTTGAATAGCAAGATTCATGCAATAGATAAGTACCCAGCGCCCAAGGCCAAGAGAGAGGTGATGAGGTTTCTTGGCATGGCTGGCTACTATAGGAGGTTTGTGATGAATTTTTCTGATATTGTTGCCCCATTACAGATTTATTA